ATGTCTGGTCATCAGTAAATTCCCAGTTAAGAGGTGGAACTAAGGAGCAAAGGCAAAAATCCCCCACCCCTTATCTCCTTTGTGCAAGCACAATTAAGCATACTGTTGCCAATACATGACTGACCATATACAGTACACACAATTATTACTGTAACAATCTTAATCATGTGAAAAATGATAATCTGTCAAATTGCTATCCACACTTCTGTGAAAATGAACATTCCATTTTACCTGGACTGGATGGGTCTCAAACTGCGGACCCCATGCGCGAGAGGCCGTAGCACTATCAACTCGGCTATGAGCACTATTAAAAAAGTTTCCAAAAGCAGCAGGATGCTGCTTATCTAACTAGGATAGTCTGGCATCTAGCAACCAATGCTAATTAAATTAATCTCCCAATTATTTAGAAAGCATCTAGATATGTTTTAAACATGGGAAAGATTTTCAAATGCAGTTTAATGCTATTGAAAAGTATTGGGTTTGGAACTTGGCTAATAAGAATTACTAAATCATCCACTGTTCTAAGGTGTGAATTTTAAATTCCTAGGAGCCATTAATAGGTATACTAAGGCAAAAATTTGATGCATATATGTACAGAATTTTGCATATATGCAAAAGCGAAAACCATGTCCAGTATTGGACTTGTTCGTAAGTGAAGGTTCATACACTGGATGACAAATTAATGAAATACTAAAAAGCAGTACAAGGACACTTAGCACTCAAATAACCAGCATGAAAATGGAAGAGCTGGACAATGTCTTGTGATATCCAAACTCCTGTAAATATAACTGATAGTGTGGCAGATCTTGAAACAAATATGCCCATGCACTTGGCTGCCCCCCCCCCCCCCCTCTCCTGGTCCAGACTTGTGGTATTAAATATTTATAAAGAAATGCAAAGTGCCAGTAGCACAGGCACTCTGTATAGTGTAGAGGAAGAGTTTGGACACGGGCGAGATACCAGAAGCGCTTAAATCTGCAAATATAGCCCCTCTACACAAGGGAAGGAGACTTCTTTGCATTGGCAAAGAATTAGATCAGTTGCACTTATGTCCCACAATAAAAGTATTTGAGTGATCAGGAGTCAGGTCACCAGTTTGAGACCAATGACCACAACCCAGGCCAACATAGATTTAGTGGGAAGATCATGCTTCACAGCTACATGACCACTAGGGCAAAATTGCTGAGGTTTTAAAAGAAAACAAATGGAGATGTAGTATACATGGACTTTGCACAGGCATTCAATAAATGTGACCATAGAGGGATGGCACACATTGTTCATGGGAATAACTGGTAAAGTAGGACGGTGAAAACTAAATTGTCGAACAGAACAGGGCAAGTCAACCAAACAAGACATTGCAGTTAAAAGCTCTGTACCTCAGGGTACAATCTTTGCACCACTGCTTTTTCTTCTAGCGGACTTCGATAAATGTCAGCTTTGTATCGTCCTTTGCAATCAGCATGAAAATTACCCCTGCTGAAGACATTAAAAACTAGCAGATGTTAAGGTTTTGACCAGGCAGCAGAAAGTAACATGTTTAAATGATAAATTTCAGGTACATGGGAATGGTATAAATAAGGACCTCAAACAATACAGGGTACAAAATCCAATCAAATCTGCCCATAGTAGGAAAGTGTCAAAGGATTTTGTAATGTTTAGGGAACATAACAAGGCAGTCACAGAAAATCATTGGGTGGATTATGAAAACTTTCAAATCCAGGGATCCAATCACTTGTCTATTGTCACTTGTAATCACTTGTACTGTCTTGTCTTGAGTACTGCTCAGTACTCGCTTCCCCCTTCAGAGCGGTTGAGATTGTTGAAATAGAGGGAATACAGAGAACGTGTACGGCATATGTACATAGATGCAATAAAGCACCTAAATTGAGTCTCAAAGCTCTCAATGTACTCATTAGAGCAGTGGGTGCCATAGGTGAACACAATACCTGTATAAACACTGGAGGTTCACAGTTCAACATAGTCCCAGCAAGTATATAAAACATTGCCAGAAGAACTGTGGACATAGAACTTTTTAATTTTCTCTTAAGTGCCAGACCAACTGAACTGTGGTGGATGAGCCTGGGGCTGATCAAAGCAACAGCCTGTTGGACCAAACTCGCAAGTAGAGCCTGGCCTCAAGCCGGGCTTGGAGTAAACCAACCCCGGGAACCCCATCAAGCAGATATAGCAAATAAGATACTGGGATTTCTAAGAAGCATTAACAACATTCTTCAGCTTTACCTAGACCTTGTTAAGCCTCGTTTAGCTTATTAGGCCTTTGATTAGATGTAAATTGAATGTACTAGATGGTTTATCCCAAGAATTTAATAAAACCTTTAAGATTAACAATCTTGTACTAGAGAATGTAAATAACAGGGTACTGTAACAGTTAAAGGCCTGTTGATTCTTGGACTGGTTGGTATAGTGACACATGCTTCTTGTAGTTGGCTTTAGATTTCTGATGGTCAAAACAATTTCACTTGAAATGGTAGCTATACTCCTCCTGCTGTAAGAAATCTTTTATTAAAAAGGGCAGAGCCTGTAATGTAATGAAAATTGTAAACATAGCCTACCAAAGCAGCATTGGTGTTAAAGGACTTAATAACTAGCTGGGGTATTTTGTTTGGGCATAGACTATGCCCAAACAGCAAGTGCAAGTTTATTGCATTTGGCTGTTTTTGCTAAAAGCCAGACATTTTAGCAATTTTTGGAATTTGCACTGAAATTTTTTTAGGCACAATTGTGGTACATAAATTTTTGCAGGTTTTTATTTTGGTAATATTTGAATGTCATTTAAGTTTGAGATTTTATGAACAGTATAATAGATTGTTAGCTGTTAACAGCTGTGCCTTGATGCCAGACTTGAGTGGCTTGAACAATTACTAGAACTTAACATTGTTCCATTGACTTGCACAACACTGAACCATCCAGGAACACACAAGTTCGTAAAACCAAGGACCAATTGTGCTAAGGAGACCTTGGAATGATTGTAACTAATAACGGTAATGAATGTAAAAGGGTTGTAAAACGCAAATGGAATAGTGTAATTTGCAGATCTTTTGAATAAAGATTAAAGGTAGTGTTAACTATACAATTGATTTCACTAAAACTGGAAAGTTTAGCACTGAGCATGGATCTTATAAAGAAAACATAATTGTGAAATATTTTGCACATGCATAACGTACAGCACTGACTTCAACATTGACTTCAACATTGCTGTACAGGAAAGATCCAAATGGCTTACCAGAAGTGTGGTACTGCCAAGCCCATGGAGTTCTGTAAAAGTGTAAACACTTTAATTATTGCAAATGCTCATATATGGGGCTTTTTTTTTTTTATCTAGGAATATACATGGCGACATTGTCTTCCTGGCGTGATGCCTTTTGGTAAATTACGAATTTAAATTCATACCTTTTGATAATACTGTAATGAATTTGAAAAACCATTTAATTTTGTGGCAGCTTTCATAAATCATTTGGAAGCATATAAAATACTTTGTATAAATTAATATGGTAGTATTTCGGGCAGTTTTTGGTGAGCAATTTAAATTATTCCTTTAAATAGCTTTGGATGTCAACTTTGGTGGCCCTTAACCTTTGTTGCCATCATAATGTAGGGGGGGGGGATAATAAGTCCCCTTTTAGTTGGATAATATCAACTAGGGAATACAGTAGTTCAGTACTGTGTTTTTATGGTTATTTTATTACAAAACTGGAAATATAATCTCTACTAGATATAAACAAATATCCACTTCATTTGGTTGCATTTGACAACCAAATAAATTTAATTTGCATCCTTTATAGGGACAGATTCAAAGGGTTTACTTGTAAGCAATATTTTGCTCTAGATTTGTGAAAGAACAATCACAGGGTTTACTGTCTTGTTTACCCCTCAACTGCTCAGCTTCCAAATATGACCTCCAGTGTGCAGGAAATTCAGGAAAAAAATCTTTTGAAAAAGTCACTCTTCCCCATGGGTGTAGTAACAAAGGTCAAAATTGTATGTACTTTGGCTGCTACGGGGTCCATAAGTTTGTGCGTGACGTCATCATTCCCTGGTCGCCTGTGGCGTATGCCCCTCGGGCCAGGAGGGCCCGGGGCAGGATGTGCGAGTTGCCGCGAATATATTTTAATTTTTTGTGCACAGTTCCAAATACTTTTTTCGTGCCAATCCTATGTATAATTAACACGTACACTATATTATGGCAGTAAAACATCCGTACTGTCTGAAGTGTTATGTGCATGACACGTGTACACACGTTGCACATATTTCCCATGCATCATGCTAACTTATCTGTATTTACAATCTACACACTATACACCATCACATTACAGTATATACATTCACCATCAACACTCAGAACTCGCTATCAGCTGCCACACCCTCACTCCTCCATCTTACTCGCCATCATTGCTCCTCCCACAAGTTAGTTTTTATTACACTATTTACACATGTATACCTATCTACATGTTTTATTCACCAGAACTATGCAAGTAAGCCGGTATTGTCCAAACTTTACAGTGGCCACCATACACAGCAAAGATTGTCACCTCCCTCGCCAAAATAGATCCTCCAACATACTCCTGCTGCTGTTATTACACTATATACAGTGTATACCCATGTACAAATGTGTTCACCATAGCGAACCACTAAGCTAGCGTGATGAGCAAAAAAAGTGGCTGCCACGCAGTGAGGCTACCTCGATTCTCTCCCTCACAATTCCTCCTCACACAATACTACAGTGCTAATTATCACCATAATCCTGCTGCTAGCAATGTGATCACTTCCAGCCAAATCAAACTTGCGTGCACACTCGGGAATTGTAGCCGTTACGGCAATAATTGCATCTTTACATAGTATTTTGTGCTGTACTGTTTTTTCCCGAGTTATTGCATAGGGCATCACTCGTGTTGCTGATGGACAGTACCTGACAGATGTAACTTGCTTTTGGTTTGAGCAATTGGAAAAAAATTGCTTTAAAGTTTTATTTTCTTTTTCAGACATAATGGGAGATAAGGAGGAACAAGTACAGCGAGCTAAGCTTGCCGAGCAGGCAGAGAGATACGATGACATGGCAGCAGCCATGAAGCAGGTCACAGAAACTGGTAAGCATCTTTTAAAAGCATACTTTGAAATGTTTGGTTTCAGATAAGTTATATATCAGGAAGTATTGATACTGCTCAGTGGGTCCCAACCACCCCACCACCCCCTCTAGATGTGACCACACGTGGCATGCAGCAATGCTTTAAATTGGGTTGATCAGAGGTAGTGAAAATGTAGGAAATCCTTCAATGCAATGGGGTGGGGGGGATCTATATGCCTCCTGTTGAGTTTTGGGGATTTAACATCCCCTATGGGGGTGGGTGTAAAGGAAGCACAGAAGACTCGTTTTAACTGAACTACATGGGAAGGACCCCTTGCTGGATAAGCAGGAATTCTTACTGGGGAATGTCCAAGAAAGAACATGCTATATTTTTTTATATACCCAAACATAATTAAAATTTCCACATTATAAGAATACTAAAAAAGGGAGGATGTAAAAGTTTTAAACTTTGACTTAGTTTTTGATACTGTACATCTTGAACATCTCTTGAAAAATTAGTAATGTAACCTAACACTAAGTGCTGTACATAAGTTTGGCAAGGTTAGTTTTGACTGCCAGCTTCTGCTGCATCACTGGTTAAAGCTATTGTCTTACTGGTGAGGTTTCACTTGGTCTTTGGACTATTTGTGAGGCTTTAGTCGTTTGAAGGGCTTTGTAATGCCATTCTTACCAAATAAGTTTTGCTTCCCTCTTGTGTTCATTGGCCTCTTCTGGTCAGCTTTGGTTTGCCTAAAGTACTGAGACATGGTTGCAACTTGTGTATTATCACGGTTGGATAGGTAGGTAGAGAAATAGAAATGATTGAATTAAAGCCACACTCATACATGGCCCACCAAAAGGCAGAGCAAAAGGCTATTAGTGAAAGAAATTATAATATTTTCTATGCAAAATAGAAAAAACCAACCACAAAGTATTGGGCACCTGCGAAAGGGAGGGAGAACGTTCATTGATAACAAAGAAATGAGCGAAATACTGAGGAATCAATGACAGTTTCCAGCGAGCCACTAAACACTGAAGATTGATGACCCAAATGAAATTTTCAAGTATAAGATTCCAACAGCAAATCGTATATTAGTCACCCTATCCCCACTGGATTGTGAAGAAGCCATAGACAATATGCCTATGCACTCTGCACCAGGCCCTGATTCTTGGAATTATTCATAAAGAACTAAAAAATAAAAATAACAAATAAAAAAGGCCCTTCACCTCCTTTCCAGACAGCCTGGATACTAGTGTTATCCCTGACACAGTACTAAAAAAAAGCAGATAGCACTACTACATAAATGAGGAAATAAGGCAGAGGCGAAAAATTAGACCGATAGCACTAACATCACACATCATAAAAAAAAATTTGAAAAAATACAAAGATAGATCACAATACATGGAATCATAGCATCTCCATAACCCCAGACAATATGGTCTCAGAACAGGTTGCTCTTGCCTATCACAGATGCTGGACCACTATGACATGGCAGACAACAAAATGCTGATGTAATTTAGATTTCACAAATTTGAGAAATGTGACCATGGTTTTATTGTGCGCACAATGCGTTAAAGAGCTTACCAGAAAAATAGGCAGATGGATCCAAAATTTCCCGACTAACAGCACCCAATGTGTAAATGTAGACAGAAAAATCCGGTTCATCAACTGTGTAGAGCTCAGTCCCTCAGGGTACTGTGCTTGCTCCAGTATTTTTTCTCATCCTCGTATCTGACAAGGACACGATCTATAGTACTGTATCATCCCTTGCAGATAACTTAAGATTTTTTAGCAGAAAACAGTGGATACAGCAAACCTCCAGTCAGATGGTCTTTCTATAGCCTACAGAAAATATGGTGTTTAACGAAGAAACGTTGCGCTACAGAAAAAGGAAAATGTACAAAATGTAGTCAAACCATAACAGAATGAAGAACGAAAAGGCAATATAAAGGATTTGGGTGTACTCGTGTTGGAAGACGTTACATTTAAAGAACACAATAAAGTAGCCATCACCTTTGCAAGAAAAATTAAGTTGGATAAATAGAACCATTTGCATGAGATGCTATACCAATACTTCTCAAGATGCTAGTGCTCTCTAGTGGAATACCGTTGCACAATGAGTCCTTCAAAGCTGGAGAAATTGCTAACCTGGAGAGCGTGCAGAGACCCTTTACTGCAAGAATCCACTCGTAAAACATCTAAACTATTGGGACCAACTTAAATGCTTAAATCTATTATCTTGAGTGCAGGCAGAAGATATAAAATAATTTACACATGGGAAATGGTAGAGGGTCTCATCCCAAACCTGCACACAGAAATATCACACGAGACAAGGTGTGGCAGGATGTGCAGAATACCCCCAGTGAAAAGCAAAGGTGCAATAGGTACTGAGAGGCTTCTCAACATCAGAGGCCCAAGACTGTTCAACATGCTTCCACTACACATGAGGAGCATAAGTGGCTGATCCCTCTGTTGGAGAGAACTTGGAAAGCGCCTCCAAAGGATGCCTGATCAACCAGGCTGTAACTTACGTCAGGCTGTGAGCTGCAGTGTCCAACAGCCTAGTTAATCAGTCCAGCAACGAGGCATGGTCGATGACTGGGCCGTGGGGATGCTAAGCCCCGAAATCATCTCGGGGTAACTTCAAGGATGAAAAGCCAATTAGCTTGTCAACAGAAGACACTAGTAAACTGTTTAGAAGACTGGTGAGTGTCCTTGATGCCATTCTCATCCACATCCTCACTAATAATGGACTGAAGATCTCTTCACTTGTCACTTTATCCTGTCATGAACATCATTGTAGCCATTCAACCACATCCTGTGTAAATTATCACCAGAATTTCAGAAGTAAATAGATTTGTATGTCAAATTCCATTTGTAAATATAGTGGTATTGGGAGGAAGGACCATATCTTAACCTTGAAACCAAGGTGTCAACATAGGGTTCGGGGGTGAGCAGGTGCATTAAGCAACAGTAAAGCTCAAACTTTGCTTTGCTTCGCTGTTTTTTGTAATTTACACGAACTTCCTTGCAAAATGCGTAAAACAAAGATGATCTGCGTAAACAATGCATTCTTTGAGCTATATTTACACGCAGATTGTTAAAGCCATGTACTTTCTCAATACAGACTAGTTTAATTTAATCAGTTGCAAATTTGAGCTGCATTATAAATTAGATAAGATATACATTATAAATTTGTTTAAATAAACACTGCTTTTATCTGTTTCTCTCAAATAGTGCCTAGCTTTAAACCTTGAAATCCAACCAGCCCTGGCCCTGAAATCCTGTGTTCCAATAGTTGGCTGGAAACTGGCTGCAGCATTTATTGCACTGCTATTTGTCACCAGCTGTTGTGCATTACAAATCACTTGTACACAACCTTATCCAACTGTGCATTGTGTGCAGGCTTCATAATTTTTGTTGCACTGCTTGCACCTTCACTTGCTGGTTGCTATGTATTTTGCAACACAGCTGGGTTTCAATTTAAAGTTCAATAGATATTTATCTTTAATGGTTAGGACCACTTTCATGCTCGAACACCACCAGGATGATTGCTGCTGCTACCACCACCAGTCGGTTTTGTCTCAAAAAGTCATTTTAAGAATTTCACTAATGGTGTGGCACTGTAGTATGAGGGGTGAAGTGTAGTTTTAGCTTGACTGCCTGAAATTGTCCAATTGGGGCAGGCAGGCAAGTTATGTGGGCTACTTGGCAGGCCCCTAATTTTAGCAGAAACAAGTCTTCAGCCTGTACTGTTTAGAAATTTGTATTTTTTTGAATACTGAATTATATAATTCAACTTAAAAATTAACGCTTGGGAATTTTATGTAAAGATTCTTTCGTGCACTCCTGTGTGCTTTGTCAATGTCTGTGGTTAAGACGACTTAAATCTGACTAATGCAAACCTGACCATGTGCTCAGACCCTGACAAAGCACTTGGTGCAAAAGACTTGGTATATAAATCTTTTCATAACATTCACAAATATGCAAGTGTTGGTTTTTAACATACGAAATTACCTTGCGGTTGCCTTGAGGATTTAGAGGCTTAGTGGCCCGGTCGTCGACCAAGTCTCCTCATTGCTGGACTGGTCAACCAGGCTGTTGGATGTGGCTGCTCACAGCCTGGTTGGTCAGGTATCCTTTGGAGAAGACATTACCATTACTTTGTTTATACAGTAATTGGGCATCTCTACATGCCTCCAAATCCCCAGCTGTCCCTCAAAACCACCCCATCTGCCAAACAGCACCCACCCTAACACATCCCATACCCTGGCCTCGAGCCACTGCTGTATGGGATTAACGCGGTATGGCCCGATGCTGAACTTGGTTATTGGGCAAAATGCCCCAATTTTCTGAATGTCTGGATATGGCAGTTAAACCAGAAAGTTATCAACTCATTTGGGTTATCCAGCAAAAATTATCAGGTTCAACTAGCTTCAGATAAGAGCTCATACAGTATAGCTCAAGGTCTAGTACCAAATAGCTGCCCATGATAATTAAGTGGTTCAGCTGGGATCAATTTGAAATTTCCTCAAACCTCAGATTTAGACTGCTTATAAATACCTAAAAATAATTTTTCTAGCCATTACCTAATAAGACGACCCTTGCTATCTAGCATGCAAGGTATATAAATAGAACTCTAGTGCATGTGGCATAACATTCAGGTTTGATAGTGAACGATATTTCTCAAATCCTCAGCCATGGTTGTGCAACACGTCTGAAGTAATTTGCTTGATTAAAAATTTTCACTGTTGTAGGAAGTCGGGTAGGCATATTGAGGTCCTCTTGAGGTCAGCAGCTGATCTTGGCCATGGTGCAACCCATAACACCTCTTTTAGGTGAAAAAGCATTAGGTGAAAGGAAATTGCTTGAAAAAGCCTCAAACTTTCAGTAGTGTAACTGAGCACCTCAAAGCAGGTATTGTACTATATGCAGTGTTAATGGCACTTGTTTACTAATCCTAAAATTTGGTAGTTTGAGTAGAATACATTATACTCACACTTGAAGAGTACTTCACTTTC